TGGCGATTTTGGTAAGCGAATCAAACACGCTCCTGATAGTCAATGGCTTCGGTTTGCGCAACGTAAACGACTGCCTTTTCTTCGCTTCGAAAGCCACATCTCCCGGGTCGCCATATTTGTTGTACAGTGTTTTCAATCCCGCATTGTCCAACCCACAGACCTTCTTCAGGGCCTTAGATATCGCTGACCCGCCCAGCCCTAGTTCTCGATCGATGTACGGGGGAGATATCGCGTTCGTAGCAAGCCATACCGCGGGTAACAAGCTTCCGGGATCACCTTCGATGATAGTTCGTAGTAGATTGACGAGCGTGTCCACGATCTTTATTCTGCTCGTGGTGCCATTGATGAGCACAAAGCAGCGCGTCAGCAGCGCATACGTCGCATGTCCTCTCTCTCTGCGGCCCAATGCGTCTGTAGCTCTGATATGTATGCCGCAGGATCAAATTCGAGCGGGCTTTGATCAAAGGGAATATTCGCTGAGGTAGTGTCCTCGGCGGCAGCGGCAGACTGTAGCGAGAGGGTGTTCTTCGATGCTTCTAATGTGGGGCGGGTGGCAAGAGGCTTGCCGACCTCTGGTTCAGTGGAAGTGTGGACATCTTCGCCCGAATCGCCATTGGTCGCAGGCTTCTCAGGGTCGGCGTAGAGGTCGTTGGAGCGCGGTGCTTTTGCGCTCGCTCGCTGGTCTTGCTCGTTCCATTCTGCCTGCAACTTCCACGCAAGCTCCTCGTCGGTCAGAGTAGACGTGTCTTGGATTTCGTTTGCCATAAATTCGGCACCGGAATCCTCGACTTCCGGTACATTCGGCGGATTCGTCGCATCTTGCTTCTGCTTCGAAAAGAAGTAGTCTAAGCTGCGAACGGGTTGGCTCGAGCCATCATTCTTCTTGCGGCGCTTCGCCGGGCTAGGCATCGTTCGTACACAGGTATAGAAAATGATTGCGAATGCGGGGGAGGCATGGTCGAGGTGGGATGGTGCGGAATATGATGCGCTTACAGTAACCGTTCATTCACGTCATGAGGCGCTCGGGCCATCGATTTCGTCTCTATCTCACGTATTCACGCGTCGCGTCTACGCACTCAACGAGCGTCATGGACACACTACTTCGTGACAAATACATCCTGGGGTGATTCACCTCTACGCAAGGATCAGTCATGGCTCGGTTGGATCGAGTCATACGCTTACCCGGCCGTTATGATGCAGCGACCAGACAGGTGTATACGGAGATACAAGTCCCTGTCACTTCAATGGCTTCGAGCTGTCAGTGCCCAGGACATGTGCAAAGCCTCGGAACGTGCTCGTTGTCTAACTTCATGAAGGGTCGAACAAAACCAAAGGCACAAGAACCAATCCCCAGACATATCGCCATCGCGGTCCAGGCATCTTGGGCAGTTCATCGTTGTACGATATGGCCCTGCGATCCTGCGCTTGGCATATCAACTTGTTCATGCCCAGCGACTTGCAGGCTGCACATTGGCACTTTGCTAAGGCGATATACAACTATTTGCAAATCAAGTATGTTTGTACCAATTCAATAGGATAGACTCCGTCTAATTGGGTGGCTTAGCTCGAACCTGACCGCAAATATCTGGTCCACCTTCCAGCAGGCATTTCCAGACGAGGAAGAGCTTCATCGCGTCTATCAAATCAATATTCCTACTCGCTATGAGGATAGTCCTGCAAATCTACCTTCGATACAGAAATGGATCCAAACACTCCCTTTCTCACATGTATCAATGCTCAACATTTCGTGCCTCTACTTACGGCGTACCGACCTGATATCATTGACAAATATTCCTAGCCTAGGGGTCCTCTCGCTCCGACACGCCTTGGACGTTCACTCCCAAGATGTCGACGACAAGGTAATGAGAGATTGGGGTCGCGCGGTGCAGGAGAAGAGGGCTTTCCCAAAGCTAAAAGTAGTGGTATTGCTTTCCTTCCCGTCAACTCTAATCGCCACCTTGAAGTGCCTAGCAACCTTTTCAGCATTACAAATTTGTGCGGTAGCGCCTTTCAATCCCATACCATCTATAAAGGAGGCAGGAAGGGAAGTGGCCAACGCAGCTGTGCCTTTTCGAGTGCTTTTTCCAACCACATCAGAACACCGTCGTGCCCAAGACCCAAATCATATATGGAAAAGCGACACCTGCCGTAAGTCCCTTTGGCACAATTGCAATTCATTAAATTTCGTGCAATGCCTTACTACGAGATGCACTTTACAAGCACGGGTCGACTTCGCGTAAAATAATGATTCGATGCAAGTTTGATGTGTAGTAAATAACGCTGACTGTCTTTCAAACTTATAGGGCATGCCAAACTCAAGTCGCTATATGATGTCGCAGAGGAAATGTCACGGGTCATGCAGCACCCTAACGAATATTCGGGGTCTGGTGTACTGTCAGTGTTCTACGGAGAAGATCGTCAGTTTTCAGCCGATGAAAAATCTTATCTTTGGTTGGCACGGGTGGCCACTATGGAATCGATGTGTGAGACTATTCGTTCTGGAAAGCGGGCGCCAGATAGTGGCGAGAGGCCATCAGAAGTCAACAAAGACATCAAGAAGAGGAAGATCAGGTGGGGAAAGCAGAACGATATCGGGTCGCTTTTAGGAACCTTTGGCTGATGTGCTAGGCGGAGTGTTGAGTATCGGACGGACAGCGAGGCGTTTGCAATGGGGGTTCCCGGATAGATACTAGGGCTCGAATCATATATAGATTATATCTTCTTATTACAATACGTCCAAGTATTGTAATTTTTCTAGACTCTAGCTGGAGCCTTGGCATGCACAACAATCCTACCGAAGCCAGCAGCAGAATATACCCTATATCCCTTTTACGTCCTTTGCGCAAAACAGATGTGTCTCTGTTGTCAAAACCTGCTCTTTCCTGCAGGATAGCAGCAAGAGCACAGGAAACGGGTGGCTCTTGAAGCTAGCGATGTCGTCATTCCACTGGAATATTCTCTCTCAGAACGACCAGTGAACAATCTCATAGTCAGTGTAGCTAGCGAGTCAAATTGTACTTATATTTTTTCCTCTCTACTGCTGAACAGCGATAGATTACGTTTTGATGCTTACCTCGATCGTTGCGCATATGCCTACAAGCTTTCGTTCGATCTTCATCTATTAAATAGGAAGTTCCTTCACAATGACACCTCTTAATATTGTGTGAGTGAGTCTCTAGGTCTGAAATTATGTTATAGAAAAAGTCGCATCAGACACAAAAAAGATAATTAGCGACGAGAGCCTAGCTTTGTGATTCACCAAATCGCCCAAAGTTAGCCATTTCTGTATAGCGTCCATGCCTTGCTCCAAATCTACTGAATCCCTCGATCATAGGGCTTATTCAACTCCTATATGTGAAGTCCATAGTATAATACTTTTACGAAGCATTTGGCAGCGGGACTTTTGGAGTAATGGGGCATCTTATAGCCAATTACATGGCTGCTATATATATATCAGAACAACGGTTCTCAGAAGCATGTGATCAATGAGCGTTCTACTAGAGGAATCTAAGCCATAAGGCGTTACCAATTGATCATAGCTACCATCCTTTCGAGGCTCCTTATTGGGCACGTCGCGTCGTCTATATAGGTACATCCCTAAAGAAAGGGATTAAAGTGTACGGAAGTATACTAGTAGAACTACTAGAGAAAGCTGATGTAAATTTCTCCAGGGCTCGTAGAGCACACTATAGCCATGAGCTCTTATGGTATCTTCTTTGCTAAGCAGGCCAAACCCGTATAATAGACTCAAAGAAAACAAGCTCTGAGAACCGCAGCTCGATCTTGAACTAAAATGCCTAGGTCTGAAATGAACTACGATAAGTAATAATAGGGAGATAGCGAGGCTTCCCTGCATGAATTCGTACTGTCTCTGCCTGATGCATCCTCGTAGGAAAGGCTAGGTCCCAACAAGCGACATCTATATCAGCGAGCATGCATTGTGCCAACAAAATTTCTTACTATACTGTAGCTGTGTGAGCTTCTGACTCGCATATCAAGAAGCTGGGGACACTGGAGAAAGTCTGGAAGGATACGACGATACTCCCGGGTTGACTGATGCTGACACAAGTTCACAGTAGAGTATGAATGAGGAGGACCTAAGGAAAATGCATTGCTAGGATACGTAATGCTCACATCCGTGGCTGCCTACTATCTATCATACCTCCGCTCACTATCCTAGGTCTTCTCACCTGCTACCAGATTTAAGGGTTATGCAGAATCTTTTCGGTACACTCCCGTCTGGGCACATGAACGGTAAGGAAATTGACATAAGGTGGAGGACAATCGTATCTATTTGAGCGTTCATTCGGTTTGATTTCTTTCGAATAAATTCCCACGATTTGGGCGAGTTTGGCATGCTTATCCTACAACACTTTTTCGTAAATGATTTGGATAGTTGAAAATGGCAAGGGGGTTCGGGGCGATTCTAATTTATTCTTATACCGCTGTGTGCGATCGATTCCATTGTTTACTTATTGTCTGTTTAGCATTCAAGTACTATAGCGTGTATGATCAAGACGTGTACTATATAATCTGCATGCGACTAGACCTGAGAACATGTCAAATGTCAGGCTCAAACATCGACTTCTAGTTGATACACCAACTGCCGCTATTCTTCACCTTTCTTAGTAAGTCATACCACCCTATTGTAGCGTATCTCAAATTGAAAACAGATATCAGCCTATATTACCATCCCGGAGCTAACCCACCCACCAGGGTCACGTTGAGTACACGGCTAGAAAATTTGATCACGATGAAGAATATCGAAGACTTCACTCTCGTGTAGCTCGTAACAACAATATAACGTATTTTTGTTTTCATACTATGAGGCTCCCAAACACCCATCCTAAATATTTGGGTAACAAAGAGCTGATACCCCAAAAAAGCCCTGATAAAAAAACCTTGACCGGCTTCAACTCAGCCATAGTACACGAGGTTGGTCACCCAGCTTCTTCACACACACCTTACTTAGGAGAGACATTTTATCCAAAAAGAAGTCTCGACACCTGTGTGATTCGAACACACGCTCCCGAAGGAATCAGCTGACATAGATGAGCCAATTAGAAGAAGCTCAGAAAGTTCGAGGCTGACGCGTTAACCACTCCGCCAAAGTGCCAGTTCGGTTTGAGACGATTTGTTGATGTCTCGGGATTCAAAGACATATATATACCATTTTGCTGCTTCCTGTTGTGTGGCGAAAATCGGCCCCACTGATGACAATCCGGCTCGCCATACCTTTCCGGCCAGGTATTGCAAAGGCTAACAATCTACAACCTGCTGCGCTGTGTTGCAGTTGGATCGGTACGTGTCGGTTTCTCATTACAATCCGGTAGGACTCCCATCAACACCTACCGCAGTCCCACATAGATCCCAACGACGCCGGCACGGTTCGGCAGCAGTCCGGCAGCCGTTCGGATAGGAAAACCTGCATCTTGCCGGGCCACCTCCGTACACTGGCGGTGGAATCTGGGCGCGGGCCCTTCGCGGGGCGCGGGCGATCTCCGCTAGTGGCACTTTATCCGCCCCGGCAAGCCATTGGTTTCATGCAGGAGCATCCGACGAGACAAGCTCCAACAGTCCTGGCACTGCAGACGCACGTCTTAGGAGCAAGCCGAAAACATCACGCAGTGTGCGCGCGGTCTGCCTATTCACCGCGAGCAGACACGCGGCGAAAGGCTGCCGCGCCATGTAGGAGGTGTCGACACTGCTCCTCTCGTCAGCCTCACGTTGCACACAGCACACACCTGGTCCCAGTCCTCACAGCAACATGGACACAATTGCGAAGCCGCCTGCGCTGGCGAGCCCGAAGCTCGTCAAGAATGCCAAAGGCACCGTCGTTCCGAGCAGCCAGATGGCGCACATCGCATACGGCTGCGGTGGGTTCGCAGCAACTTTTTTTTATCGACCGCCGCTGACAGTACCCAGAACATATGCGCACGATGCTTGAGAATGCGCGCAAGCAGACTTTCCAGTACTACCGCGCCATATTGCAGGACATCCACGAGAAACCGAGTGTCATCGCCCAAACCTACAAGAACGCCTCCGACGGCCGGCCTGTGGTCTCGCTGCGCCCGCTGTACCTGTGTCTGCAGTGTCCGAATATCATGACCGAGACCGATCGTGACGAGCATATCGATACTAAGCGGCATATATTCTGTGGGTAGGAGCTCATACATCCAGAGGGTACATGCTGATGAGATTTAGCGGTCGAGTCGCGGGATGGCAACGTGTACTGCGGTGACTGCCAGGACTTCATCTACGATCCAGACTTGGAGGACAAGAGGCTACAGAAGGGTGGGTCGGGGTCCGCGCTGGTTTCATGTAGAGTTGGTTGCTGACACGAGCATCGCAGGCAAAAAGCGCAAGTACGAAGATACCACGACGACCGACGAACACAAGCTGGTACTCAACAACTCTACTTTTCTGCCTTGTCGCGCAATAGGCCTGCGAGGCCTATACAACATGGGCCAAACCTGCTTCATGAGCGTCATATTGCAGACATTGATACACAACCCTTTCGTACGGAATTTCTACCTTTCAGAAGGGCACAAGACGGCAGATTGCGAGAGGGAGTCGTGTGTGAGCTGCGCTCTGGATGAGATGTTCGTCGAGTTTCATTCTGTAGAGAAGACGGAAGGCTTCGGCGCCGTCAACATGCTCATGGGCAGCTGGCTTGCTGGAGAGGTGGGTTCTACATTGTGTGGCAGCACTACTTTGGATGGAGAAACGCTAATTGCAGCGTTGTAGGCATTGGCGGGATATCAGCAGCAAGATGCGCACGAGTACATGCAATTTATGCTCAACACCCTCCATCTCCAGAACGGTGGCTCTACCGATTCTGAAGACTGCAACTGCATCGTTCACACGACGTTTTACGGCAAACTTTCGAGCACCGTTACTTGCGACAGTTGTCGAAATACAACAACCGCACTGGATCCGTATATGGATCTGAGTCTGGACATAAGGAATTTGTCCAAGAAGAAGAAAGCAGAGAGTAGCGCAGACGAGTTACAAATGGGCCTCCAGAACTGTTTGGATAGATTTACGGGCAGGGAAAAACTTGGCGCTGCCGAGTATACGTGCCAGAAGTGCGATAGTGGACAAAACGCCACGAAGCAGCTAAGCATCAAACAGTTACCGCCGGTCCTTCCCGTCCATCTCAAGGTACGATTCCCTGTGCGCTATCACGGTTTTACGCTTACCATTTTAGCGCTTCGAACACTCGAAAGCTACCTCCAGCAAGATCGAAACTAAGATTAGCTTCCCAATGAAGCTCGATCTATATCCTTACACTACGGAGTATCGCTCGACGCAAACGAAAGGCTCGAAGCAGTCATCACCACCAAACACGAACCATAATGTCAACACCCCCGCTAATTGCCTCATCTACGAACTCTCCAGTGTTATCGTCCACAAGGGCAAGATCGACTCGGGCCACTACATCAGCTACTCCCGAGAGGGGGACGACTGGTTCATGTTCGACGATAGCAAAGTTGTTTTGGTCGGTGAAGCAGAAGTCCTCGGCGCCGAAGCGTATCTTTTATTTTATATGGTCGGAACGCTGGAAGTATGAAGGTTGATTATGGCCCCACCGACCGTTCGCGAGGTTTGTATTTTACCACAAAGATGTGATGGCGGCATGACATCAAAGTGCGCATGCATTCAACGGCGTTTTCCTATTTTGTACCAGGAAGCCTACATACCATTTCTGTTTGGAGAATCAGCGGCATGGCGCAGTGGCAAGCTCTGGGGGGCATGGTGTTGTTCGGCGTATGCTCCTGCATAGTAGAGCCAGAGCGATCATATCATCTTTCATGCTGAAGGACCCAAAGAACAGAGGTTTAGCGTTCTATGGCTCCATTAGACCCGTGCTAGACTGTTGTATCCAGAATAGAATCTATTTTAACTCGTAATCTACTAGGCATCGTATTCCTTTGGCGCGTCGCGGGCATTGCATATTTGTGAGCGACATAATTATTCTGATATTGATCACCTGATATAGATCTCCCTGGCATTATCAACTAGTTATTGAGCGTGCTTCAACTTCTGAGAGTAGAACGGACCTGACTGCAGATTATATATATTTCATTGAAATGATGCTTCCTGCAGTTCATCGTTCAGCGTTGGGCCTGACAGTGGGTGAGCGAAACATCTGCGTAAGGCGCTCACTGTACACCGTATAGTCGAGCGTGTTACCTCAAGCTACAATTTGCAACCGGAAATCTTTTGGGAATGCTTCGCAGCAAGAGGGCCGGTTTCCTGCAGCGTCTATAAGCGAGGCTGAATAATCACAAGCCACATTAAACAACGGCATCCACTTTCCTACTTGAGTATCGTTCGTTGCCTCGCACATCGCTAGCATCTTGTACTTCATTGCGACGTAGGAAACGTCCAAGATGCATCCTCTTCTTCCATGGTGCTCTCTAGCGAGCCGCAGCTTCATCTTCCCGGCGGCTGGGTGAGGTATCTTTCGGGGGACAGCTCGTGGCGCTACCGTGTAGATCGGCTTCCGCTCGGATGGATTTTGCGATATGCGCATGACGGTTCCATATTCTTTCATAATACCCTGCGACACTATTGCACGCGCCATGATCCACGAGAGGAAGAATATGATTTTTCCCAAAGGAAGCCGCTTCGTAAAACTTTGACACAGCCTATCGGAAATCACCCTCTGCGGTCATCTACGATTCCTCAAATTTATGGGGACTTTGAAGAGTTCCGACACAAGTCTCCTAGATGCGCCAACGTCTATTCGCTTGCTGAAATGGGTGGGCCGAAATGACTCTGGCATTCCATGTTTCTCCGTAGAAGAACATCAGATTGACCACACGCCTCCTTATATCGCATTGTCCTATACCTGGGGCAATCCTTTCCCAGAAGACAATGCTTCTTATGGATGTGTAAACCAGTGGCCCGTTTTGTGTGATGGCAAGGTGGCGCTGATCAGTAGGAATCTGCACGATTTTCTCCAGCAGAGGGATCCTAAATACGATGACACCAACGACGCTGTGGGTGGAGGCAGTGCGCTCCATTATGCAGCTCACAGGGGACGCCTAGAAACGGTTACAGATCTCATCGCAATAGGTGCCGACATGAACAGTCGCGATGCAATGGACAGGACGCCCCTGTTTCTTGCTATTTACGCCGAATATGAAGAAGTTGTGAGACTCCTACTATCACACAGAGCAGACACGAGTCTGAGAGTTAGTGCGAGCGCATACACGGAGGAGTATACGCCGTTACATGTGGCTGTTGCACGAAGGAATATTCCTATCATAGAGGCACTCTTGGATGCAGGTGTGTCGCTCGAAACCAGGCTCAAGAATAGCCTCACTCCGTTACACGACGCAATATGGAGGAAGGACCCTACTATGGCTCGATTCTTGCTGGCCCGCGGAGCGAACATAGAGACTAGGGCAGTTGGTACTCGTTCGGGGGAGACGCCACTGCTCACCGCGGCCAGTAAGGCAGACATTGACTGCGTCAAGGTCTTAGTTGAATTTGGCGCGGATCTAAATGCTACTCTCGAAAACGGACGCACTTCGCTGCATGAAGCCGTGGAAGAGGATAATGGTCTAGACGTTGTGCGCTTGTTGCTCGGACAAGGTGCTGATGTTAATTTGAGGACTCCAACAAAAGGTTGGACACCGCTACATTGTGCTGTAGCACATGGTTCCCGGGAGATCGTTCTGGCTTTATTGGATGCTGGTGTCGATGTTGAGCTCATCGAGACTGAAGGTGGACGAACGGCATTGTCTCTTGCCTGCGAGTTCAATCGGATTGACAACATAATCTGTCTTCTTGATAGAGGCGCTGCAATTGGAGCTCGTTGGTCAGATGGCTACATTCCCATTCATTTGGCAGCTTTGCGAGCTTCGATTCTAGCAGTGAAAGAGCTACTAGCACGCGGGGCTGATGTCAACGCTAGAAGTGATGCAGGCGAGACACCTTTGCACAAGGCTGTTGGTAGACCTGGCGTTACACGAAAAGAAGATCTAGACGATACTGTTCTTGTAGCGAAGCTCGCTGCTGATCGTCTAGTAGTCGTCAAAATGCTTCTCGATCATGATGCCGATGTGAACAATTTAGATAGCTTTGGGCTCTCCCCTCTACATA